CATCTTAAATACGTTTGACATGGTTTTGTACACATATCCTGTGTTGAATCTTCCAATCTACTTGGCGACATTCAGCGAATTTCGTCGTGAATTATTTAGTTTAGTAGTAAGAAAGAGAAGAGTTCACACAACGGCTGAAGGAAATAGACAACCCCATGTTACATAAATGAGATTGCAGTACTGATCCACTATACATCGTTCACAATATCAAAATTTATATTTATAACGTTGGCATAAGCTAATTTAAAAATCATCCGAATAGTTCACATTTAAATTGATGTTGTGTGTTTGTATCACACATCCAATAATAAAATCCTACAAAAAAAAATCTTTTACAGATGTCGCCGACGAAGTTATCCATTTGCGGTATCTTATTGAGTAACACCTATGATATATCTCTATAAACCAATTATTTTCCAGAAATATTTGTGTAAAAGCGTTGTTAATACAAAAGATCAATTTCATCCATCTACTCTCAGTTTTTATCAACAGTAACGAAGTCTCTCATACAAATAACTTCTAATATACATTGAACGTGTGTGTGTAAGAGAAAAACATAACACTCACATCCATTTCAGAAGAATGTAGTTGTTAGACATGTTTAGTTTATTGAAAAAAATTAGTAATTACATAAAAATGCACTGAACATGATTCTATTCAAGCACGCTAAAGCACAATACTTAAGAGAAAACATGCAGAAGGAGGAATAACAATATAGAGAAGAACGCACAAAAGTAAACGAAGAAATAAACAGAATTGTTAAATAAAATATGTTATGTATTGTATTAGATCATGTCATTCTATTCATTGGTATATCTCTTCTTGTATATGTAACAGTGGCTGTACGATGTGGTTGTCTTCGCACTAGATCCAATAATTTCTTTTTCATTGTCTTTCGTAAATCTGGAAATTGACTTAAAGATATGAATGGAAAGAGGAAAATAACGAAGTAATCAAGAAAAGAGAAATAAAGCTGAGCTTCTGCACCATATTCGGGCGGTAGTCCACATAAATGTGCAAGAAGTATTAAATTGCCTGAAAAATTAATACCAATATTTAAGGTTGTAACCAAAAGTAATTGGATAATCATTCGCCGTTGTCGACGCCATTGGTTAGATTGACGAAGCCGTCGTTTTTGCATTTGAACACGTAAAACAAGAGCAATACTTGCAATACCTTCTAACAGAATTGGTGTACCTGTATGAGCAATAAATTCCCACATACCCAGAATATTATTGAATTCATAACATGGTGCGGTACCACATAAGGGAACTGTGTAAAAATACATATTTTCACAAGGTAGAAAAAAAATGACAATCAAATAGAAAAGAAGGATATATGTGACTATAATAATCAAAGGAAGATAGTGAAAAAGAAAACGACCTCTTCGATTTGAAACCCATCGATCATAAAATATGAAAATATGTCGTTCGATTGCTAACCAAGCCATGAGAACGATCCCACCAACATAGAAACAATAATCAATGAACCACCAAAGAAGACATACAAATGGTGTTGATGGCTGAATAGAACCATAAGAAAATAATATGAGATAAAAATTAATATCGATTAATTGAATTGGCAAACCAAAGATTAATATGACAAGAATTGTATGATTATGTAATGCATGTCGATGGGTTCGATTCATTAGAATATGAATGATAAGGCAAAAGCTACAAATCAATGATGGGATATTGAATGATAGCATCAACCAAAACCGAACTGGACGTGGAATCGATATTTCCGAACTACTGAAAGACTCACTGTCATTGTCCGAACTATTTCCAAAAGACATTCTTCAGTGTAAATCAAACGAATAATACTTTGCAACTATTTTCTACAGAAATAGACTTGTGTTATTTTCAACCAGCTGTTTCAGACGATAATAAACTGCTTGATTCTTCCTTGTGAATATTAATGTATCTAATAAAACAAATAAGAAAAAAACAACGTTTATATTTATCTCACTCTGAATAAACGATGGACAAAGATTAATATTTAATGAGATGTGAAACAAAATAATTACATGTAGCTCTCCAGGAGTTTTCTTCCTTTTATTATTTTTTTCTATTTTTAATCCGATGTGAAGTAAAAGTATTTGAAGTCCTTCGCGAGTTTTCTTCTTTTTTTCTTTCTTATTTTCTCGACTTACGCATACAAACTTGTCATTTTGGATCACAGTGTCTCAGCAATGGAACATTAGAAAATACTCGTTTGAATGGGAGATGAATACATGAAGATTGAACCAGTATCATTCGTTTTTATTATAATCGTGATTGTGATATTGAGGTTCGCATTGCATTTTGTAGTCGACTGAAAATCAAGTACCATCTAGTCAATCTCAGATATGTCAATCTATCAAGTATAAAACAGTAAAGAAATATCTCATAATATGTATGTGATGTTTAATCTTCAAAACATCAACATTCCATTTTCATTTTCTCAATTATTAAAATACATTTGTTTCCAATCTATTCTGGATACTCTAAGAATGTGTCATTTCTGTCACTACAAGCAAGGAGTATAGAAGATTATTTCTATTTCAGGTAGAAGCTTATTTCATTATGAAAGTGTTGTTCGTTTGTAGTAGTGTCACATACTCTGCAAATCGGAGATGTGAGACATGCTAAAGTATCGTTTCACAGTCCATCTTGATGGTATGATGATAGGAGTGGACAAATATTTTATCTTGAAACCTCAAAGATCATATATTCTTGTAATTGAAGAAACAGTGCATCATTATTTCAATTTTATATGCAATTATTGTTTTGATTTACATAATAATTACCTATCAAATACATTCATGGTATGTTAATACTCTCTCTAAACAATTATATAAATGAAAAACAAGACATCTGCACACATGCACCTTTAGTTTTCTATCAAGAAATGAGATCCATGAATCATAATTGAGCGAACACGATTTTGTTATAAGTGAAAACTATACTGTGGAACAAAAGATTTATGTTAGCTTGGAAAATAAACAGAAAGTAGATGTTCCATCTGTTAACTCACACCCTAAAAATATTCTTATATACAAACCATTCTTTGTTTTCATTTTGTTATTTCTGATATCTACAGAAAGAAATACAATGCATTGACTCTATTATATTACTATGAAATTATATATTCATTTTTTTTTGTTTCTCTATAACTCATATCGCTATTGACTGTCAATACATACAAAAAAAGAAGAATATTGCTTGCACGTTGATTTCCGTATGTATATAATAATATACTATTTTATGCACATATACGAAGTCAAATATGCGACAGAAAAAAAAGAAACTGACTATACTCGTATTTTATTACGGGTAATGTCATATTGAACTATACGTTCTTCTCATCGAAATAGTGATTTTGAACCGATAACATGGTCTCAACATATGATTAAACATAAAAATGTGTTCATTAGTCAATGATAAGAATTATTATGAATGGCAATTCATTGATAAAATATCGTCATGATTTAAATCTATCTATAAAACTGAGTAAAAAAATATTTACAAGACAAAATTCGTTTAATTAAATATTAAAAATAGAATAAATTTATTATTAATATATTTAAGGTAATAAATGAACAAATATTTCATATAAATTTATTTCTTTGTGAAAAACAATAGTTTAATCAAAAACTAAATAAATCTAAAAAAGAAGATATTTTAGATTTCAAAAATTTACTTAAAAATATTATAAAGAAAAAAAATGAGTTGTTGAATAAATAAATAAAATCTTTCGCTATGATAATCCATGATACCTTTATATTGTCAGATTAACTTTAGACAGAAGTTTCTCAGTTTTAATATTTCAAGAACTTTGTAGTTATTAATAATCAACTAATAAAAAAAGATTTCATTATTCGATAATATTAATTAACTAATGAATTGAATGCGGTTTCGTATTATGGGTATAGACATTATACTATGACCCCACATTCACACCCTCAAAATAGTAAGAAAGATCTTGTTGCATCAAAATATTCGTGACTGAATGCCAAGAGGAAAACTTATTTTGGTATTCTGAGTCATTCTTAACCGTTTTCTGTAACTCCATTTCGAGGCACTCTGAGGGTTTTCTACAACTATAGTTAGAACTTCATGAACATTCACATTTTGTTTTCTGTTCATTTTGTGAACTGTATCAAACAATAGAATGTGTAGTATTAATGATAAATATGACTTTCAACCATTAGTATCTACCTATATCTTCTTATTGCAGTGTATTACTACAACATTTACTTCGATCATTTTATTCTTTGTATTCTTTTTCTAGGAGAATGTAGTTGCTACACACAAGTAACGTTCGTCGATTCAACTTACTTGACCCTCGACTGAATAGAGATAAAAGTCTTTTCTATTGATACAAAACTATAGGATTGACCTAAAAACGTATACTTGAATTGCGACGCAAATTTCTTCTTTTATATTACAACAGAAAGTTTCATATTTATGAAGAAAGTAATACTTGACTATAAAATAACTTAGCTATTTCTTGTAAAAATGCCATCCGTCCACATTCACGGAAAACAGAATCCATTTGTTTTACATCAGTCTCAACCTGCACTTGAATATTAATCAATAGTATATGCAGATCGAGTGACGGTCGAGACTCCAACAACAATTTCTTCCTAGACTCGCGTTACACCAATTAGTATAGTGTGAGAACCAAGGCGGAACAAGCTGATTTTCATACTAGAAATCAAGTAGAAATCACAAGAAATCAGGAAATCAGTTTGTTCCTCCTTGCCTTATGACAAACAAGTAAGCAAACTTTTCTTTTTCATATGATCCTTCCTACAGTCGAGGAAATATTTAGTTTATTGAAAAAGATTAGTAATTACATAAAAATGCACTGAACATGACTCTATTCAAGCACGCTAAAGCACGATACTTACGAGAAAACATGCAGAAGGAGGAATAACAACATAGAGAAGAACGCACAAAAGTAAACGAAGAAATAAACAGAACTGTTAAATAAAATATGTTATGTATTGTATTAGATCATGCCACTCTATTCATTGGTATATCTCTTCTTATATGTGTAACAGTGGCTGTACGATGTGGTTGTCTTCGCACAACATCCACTAACTTCTTTTTCATTGTCTTTCGTAAATCTGGAAATTGACTTAAAGATATGAATGGAAACAGGAAAACAATGAAGTAATAAAGAAAAAAAGAATAAAGCTGAACTTCTGCTCCATAATCGGGCGGTAAACCACAGAAATGTGCAATAAGTATTGCAGTGCTTGGAAAATTAATACCAATATTTAAGGTTGTAACCAAAAGTAATTGGATAATCATTCGCCGTTGTCGACGCCATTGGTTAGATTGACGAAGTCGTCGTTTTTGTATCTGAACACGTAAAACAAGAGTAATGCTAGCAATACCTTCTAACAGAATTGGTATACTTGAATGTACAATAAATTCCCACATACCAAATATACCATAAGATTCATAACATGGTGAGGTACCACATACCGGAACTGAATAAAGATAAGTATTCTCACAAGGTAAAAGAAAAATAGCAATCAGATAGAAAAGAAGGATATATGTGACTATAATAATCAAAGGAAGATAGTGAAAAAGAAAACGACCTCTTCGATTTGACACCCATCGATCATGAAATATGAAAATATGTCGTTCGATCGCTAACCAAGCCATGAGAACGAGTCCACCAGCATAGAAACCATAATCAATGAACCACCAAAGAAGACATATAATGGGTTGTGATGGCTGAACAGAACCATGCGTAACAAATATAAGGTAGAAATTAATATCGATTAACTGAACTGGCAAATTAAATATTAATATGACAAGAATTGTATGATTATATAATGCATGTCGATGGGTTCGATTCATTAGAATATGAATGATAAGGCAGAAGCTACAAATCAATGATGGAATATTGAATGATAGCATCAGCCAAAATCGAACTGAACGTGGAATGGATATTTCCGAACTAGTGAAAGGCTCACTGTCACTGTCTGAACTATTTCCAAAAGACATTATTCAATATATCAAAATAGTTTTCAATGTAAATCAAATAAATAGAACAAGATTTTTGACAAAGAATGATATCAAATAATACTTCCCAATTATTTTCTTCAGCAAGAGACTTGCGTTAGGTTCAATCAGTTTCTTTACACGATAATAAACTGCTTGATTCTTGTTTGTGACTATTTATGAGTCTAATAAAATGAAAAAGAAAAAAACAACGTTGATGTTTATCTCATTCTCAATGAATGATGAATGAAGATTAATATTTGATGAGGTATGAAGCAAAATAATTATATAGCTCTTCGCAAGTTTCCTTCCTTTTTTTCTTTCTTACTTTCTCGACTTATGCAATCAAAGCTGTCATTTTGAATCATGATTGTCTCCGCAATGGAACATTAGAAAGTACCTGTTTGAACGGGAGATGAATATGTGAAGATCAAACCAGTATCATTCGTTTCTATTATAATCGTGAATGCTTAGAAATTTGTGTAAACCTTAAAATCATGATTGCGAAGTTGAGCGTCGCATTATATTTTGTAGCTGAGTGAGATACGAGTACCATCCAGTCAATCTCAAATATGTCAATCTATCAAGTATAGAACAATATAGAAATATGTCATAAAATGTATATGATGTTTAATCTTCAAAACATCAACATTCCATTTTCATTTCCTCAATTATTAAAATGCATGTGCTTTCAGTGTATTCAGATCATTTCAAGAACATGTCATTTCTGTCACTACGAATAACGTTTTCATGAAAATGCTGTACTTTTATAGTAGTGTCACCTACTCTGAAAATCGGAGATGTGAGACATGCTGAAGTACTTTTTCACAGTCCATCTTGATGGTATGATGGTGGGAGTGGACAAATATTTTATCTTGAAACCTCAAAGATCATATGTTCTTGTAATTGAAGAAACAGTGCATCATTATTTCAGTTTTATATGCAATTATTGTTTTGATTTACATAATAATTACCTATCAAATACATTCATGGTATGTTAATACTTTGTCTAAACAATTATATGAATGAGAAACAGATCTGAATAAAGCAGATGGATGTGTATATGGCTGAGTGTGACAGATAAACAGGAGATCTGCACACATACACACTTAGTTTTCTATCAAGAAATGAGATTCGTGAATTATCATTATAGGCGAATGTGATTTTATTATATGTGAAAACTGTATGCTTGAATAGAAAATTTATGGATGGTATGGGTGTGAGTGTAGATAGTATGATGTTAAACCAACACCCAAAAAAATCGTACTAGAAAGGCTAAAAACAAAGTTGAATAGCTGTATACTTTGTAAAATAAATAGAAATGACCAAGAAAAGGTAGATCTGTGTACGGTTCTGTCTTTATTTTTCAACAATACCTCTCTATAGACATTCTGCGCTAATTAGTCTGGCTTTTTTGGAGTGGCTTGAATTGATGAATTTAAGACTAACAGTGAGATAATTACTAATCACAAAGAAATATTACTTAGTAATTGTCTTATTGTTGATTCTTTTTCATTAAAAGACATTCAACATCTTCATTCTCATTCTCATTAGTTCGTATATCTGATATGATTATAGACTTTGTTTTAGATTATCTGTTGTTGTTGTTGATGATACATTATAAGTCCGATGAAGACTATCAAAACAATTAAATATTATGACAAACGACACTGTCAAACTAAGAGAATATTTGAAAAGATAATTAAAGATATCGTATCAGTTGTAACTTTTGTTAATTCTAATAAATTAACATATAAGAGTAAAAAAACAAAAATATTCTTTTTTATTTGAGATGGAATATTAAAGTGTGTGATAATTCAATAAAAATATGGAAGAAAACAATTCGCTGATGTCATAAAATGATAATTCTTCTAACTAAAGTGTTGTTTGAAATAATTAATATAACTCTGCACTATTTAAAATACCACTATTATCAAATCCACCAGAGACTAATACTTTTCCATTTGATAATAAAGATGCTGTGTGAGACTCTCGTGTATTATTCATGTTACCAGCAGTTGCCCAAGTACCTGTTGATGGATCAAACAATTCAGCACTATTTAAAAAATTACGATTGGTTCCACCAGTAACTAATACTTTTCCATTTGATAAGACAGATGCTGTATGATGTGTTCGTCCATTAGTCATGTTACCAGTAGTGGTCCAAGTACCTGTCGATCCATTATACAGTTCAGCACTACTTAAATAATTACTACCAATGCCTTGTCCGCCAGTAACTAACATTAGTCCATTTGATAACACAGATGCTGTGTGATAAGATCGTGCGTTATTCATGTTACCAGTACTTGTCCATGTACCCGTTAATGGATCATACAGCTCAGCACTATTTGAATAATCATGGCCAATACCACCAGTAACTAACACTAATCCATTTGATAATACAGACGATGTGTGTAATCGTCGTGCATTAGTCATGTTACCAGTAGTTGTCCAAGTACCTGTTGATGGATCATACAATTCAGCACGATCTAAATTACCAATATTATCATTATACCCACCAGTAACTAATACTTTTCCATTTGATAAGACAGATGCTGTGTGCTCAGTTCTTGCATCAGTCATGTTACTTGTAATTGCCCACGTACCTGTTAATGGATCGTATAATTCAGCACTATTTAAATAACCATTATCGCTTAATCCACCAGTAACTAATACTTTTCCATTTGACAATACAGATGCTGTGTGATCATATCGTGTATTCGTCATGTTACTAGTGATTGTCCAAATACCTGTTGATAGATCATACAGTTCAGCACTATTTAAAAAATCACTGCCATATCCACCAGTAACTAATACTTTGCCATTTGATAATACAGATGCTGTGTGGTCTCGTCGTGCATTAGTCATATTACCGGTAACAGACCATTCTAAATAAAACCATTTGATTGTATTCATTCTCGAAAGACTGTCTCTAGTGGAACTCTTAAAATGATGAAATCATGTGCGGAAAGCTTTAGATTTGGTAAAATGAAAATCATTCTTGATACAGTACGAAAATAAGTTTCGCATTTTTCAATAAAGAATCATATGTGAGGATGGCATATGAAATAGGTGTGTATTTTACACTTTCCTTTATTTTTTCGGTTCGTTTCTGACGAATTTTTGGAGTTGGGAACCGTGTCTTAATACAGTTATTTTTACAACACCGTTCCATACTAAAGAATGCGGTGATTTATCATGATCAACGAATATAGAGCACATCCTATGGTATCCGGAATCTGGACTCTGACTTATCCACAGAGCAGAAAAATGAATCAAAGGTGACAGACTAACTAATTGATATTTACATAGAAAAGTGGAAGAAAGAGAATTGACTGGTATTTCCGCGCGCGACAGATATACGTACGCTCCTTTGAGGAAAAATGATTTTTTCTTGTCCTCTTTATACTTAAAAGTAGGGTATTTAATGATAACAAGCAAAGAAAAAAAGCAGATTTCGTTGTATCGATGTCAACAAAACTACGTGACTTTGATCGTGGCGAAAAATAGCGAGTATGAGGATTATTGCATCTTCGTTTCTTCGTAAGTAAACGATTAAAGCATTTATGACAAGATCACTGTTCTTTTAATGTAACTTTTCGTTAGATATAGAAAACTGCTGGATGCAAAGCAACCACATATATCTGATTTAAAAGTGCCATTCAAGGAGACCAGAAAACATTACTCTATAGCTTACCTGACTGCTGAGTTGTGGTTGTAGTTGTTGCGGGAGTGGTACTAGTTTCTAATTTGTTCGGTGCAAATATGACGAAGTTTAACAACAGAGCAAGAATAACAGCAAAAACTATTAAAATAATACCGGAAATGCCGATTATTTTAAACCGACGGTGTTGCCACCATTTGTGTGATCCATTATTTACAGTAACACGCTCTCTGTAAACTTGACTGGTGTGCATATTATGTTTCAGATGAAACTTAAACGCCAAAAAAAAGAACACACTATTGTTCGAAACTACTTTCTGTTTGCCTATCACTCTCACGTAAGTAACAGAAGATAACTAATATTATCTCCAACATCAAAGATGTTGTTATACTCTTATCTTACTATTATTTTTTTCATTCCGTCTACATCATAGTCCAAAGTATACCTTTTTTACAAGGAGGAATCAACAGATTCCAGATCTGTAACGAATGCGTTGACGCTCTTGAAGTGATGGAGTTCGGTTGAAAATGTTCGAATAGAGAGTGTGGCTGTGAGTGTTGGTGATCATTAGTAGTCAAACCCACAGCCGCCCGCAAGATTTTCATTCTCATCAAATACTCTTTTCTTTTATTCTTTCATTACATCCAAAATTGTAATATTTCTTCAATCGAACTTTAAAATATTATGAGTTATGTGATCTTGTTTCGATTAATGAAAGTAAAAGAAAGCATCTCTAGAACAGATTCATGTTTACTTGATCGTTTTCCTATAAAAATTCATTCATTGTACACATTTATTAAAAAGCAAATAAGTGATTTAGTTATTATTTTTTTAAAAATATTACTCTTGTATAGAATAAAAAAATATATTTAATAAAATTCGAGCGTGAATGTGCGATAAATCAAGGTGTAGATATAAATGAACAACGGACACCCACACCCTATTTTTAAATAATTCATGATCCAAATTCATTGGTTGATCAATTACAAATTTGGATAGATTTTCGAATATTTCATTAAAATATTATTTTAATTGCATTATAGTTAATTTGTTTTCTTGTTATTGTAAGTTTTGGTTTATTTAAAAATAAAAATTAAATTAAAAATAATGTTCTTTTAGATTTGTTATACAATAAGGTTAAAACCTAAAGAAATAGTTATTATATCATCTTACATAATAATATTAATATATTTATCAATTATTCCAAAGTATTTAATATGATGTATTATATTAATATTAGAACATGTTATTCTAGTGATATTTAGTATATTATTAATATCAAATATTCATCATCATTATTCATCAATAAATTCTTGATCAAATTAGGAACATGAAATACAAACAATAACAATGTTCGTTTTTAATAAAATTATGTAATATATTTGTTGAACTTCTTCAACGTTTTTTTATTTTATATTCACAATTAGAAAATTTCTGGGATTTATCATCAATTTTCTCATTGTCTATAACATTTCTTATGTATTGTTTAATACTACAAGAAATTCGAATGGAAATAATATTAATTGTATTATCTTCCATTTTTATTCAAAAACGAACTAACAATTCGAAAGATCTTCATATTTTTTTGAAAAACGTCACCTTTTTTTTCATTTTGTAAAATGTCTAAAAAATTAATCTGAAGGAAAAAAATCTTTTCTATTTTTTTAATGTATTGCGTTTGTTTTTTTTAATTATTTCTTATTGTCGTACACTAAAGATGATATGTAAATATTTCAATTATTATTTTAATGAAATTAGCTTTATTTCTAATTTTTTTTCGATCATATTTCGAACTTTACACTAATGGGCATTTTCTTTGTATGTAGAATTTTTCGTATGAGTAATAAAAATAAATGGAAATAAACTTGATATCTGACCAGAACGTTCGTATTCTTACTTCATTCGTATGATACTTGATTTAGACTTTTTTTTATTTGTAACCAAATAATCTATCAAACGTTAGATTGACATTCCAAAGATAGGCAACAAATATGGAAATCTTATTATATTCATTGACTCTAATTCTTAATTACTAAGAATCGATGGACTATCTTGAATATAAATAAAAATCAATTTAACAAAAAATTTTGAAAAGTAAATTAAATCCTTGTTAAAAATATTCAGAAGGTTCGCCAATAATTTCATAAAGAATTTTCTTTCGTTTGAATCCATCCAGTACTGCTCGTTTATGAATCACTATTTCATCATCATCTGAAAGAGTTTTTCGAAGTTGTTCAATACATTTTTCCATTGATTCAATGGCTTCATCGAATCTTTCTGTATTTGAATAGACCAATGCTATATTAGATAAAAGCGTACCGATTAAACTATCATCATCCGGTAAACACTCTGGTGCTAAGGAAAGACCTTGAGAATAATGATTCAATGCACTTGAATATTGTTTTTCTTGATAATATGTATAACCAATATTATTGTGAAACAATACAAAAATGTCATGCTTTTCTGGTAAATATTCTTTAGCATAATCATATGAATGCTTATAATAAACCATGGCATCACGATATTTCTCTGCTTTCAAATAAATATTTGCGATAACAAAATGTACTGTATAAAGTTCTTTGGGATCATTTGGTTGAATAGACTGTAAAACTTCGATGATTTTTTTATAATAAATAATAGCATCATCATATTTGTCTTGGAGTAAATAATTTTCACCTAAAGTTTCATAAACTAAAATCAGCTGTGTATGATGTGTTTCATCGGATTGTTTAAGAATTTTCTCGGCACGACCCAAAGCTTGAATAGCATTTTGATCATTTTCTTGTTTAAAATAGATTACACCTAATTTATAACAACAGAAAGCTGCAGCACTTAAATTAGGATTATATGAACGAAGTTGAGTATCAAGTGCGTGTTGATAATAATCAATAGCTGATGCATATTCACCCAAACCATAAAATGATTCACCAAGATCACGATAAGTTTGGTGTAAATCAGGACTATATACTGATAAGAATCGATGATAAGCTTTTAAACAAAGAAGAAATAATTCACTGGCACGTTTGAAACTTTCTCTTTGATAATGAACCAATGCTAATAGTTCTAAACATTGTGATAGAGATGCTTGTCGTTTCGTATCACTAATAAGAAGATCTTCATCAACAAGTTTTGAAAAGAATTGTTCAGCATACGAGAGTCGATTAATTTTTAATAATAATCTTCCTAATCGAAATAATGGAGAAGAATTATCAATTTCTTTGCGTGCTACTTGCATTTCTCTTTGAATATTAATTTCATCTGCATATGAAACGAATTGTAGATGAATTAGAATACAACCTTTCTGTTGATAATCTCTTTCAATGGCAATAATTTTTGTCGCAATACCTTCATTGATAAATATGTCGATTCCATCATTATCGCCGTTCGACGATAAATTTCGATCAAGTCGAGTAAGACATTTTGCTGCTGATGGAAAATCAATACGAATAAGAATATTCAAATATTCTTCATTAGGATGTGAGAGTTTTTTTGCTCTTGCAATTGCTTGTGATTGATCCGTAGAAGCAAATACTAACTGATGAAACGTCACTAAATTTTCATTTAATTTGAATGCTTCAATTGGATCGATTTGTGATTGTTCAATCATATTTCCTAAGTAAACACTAATCGGCTCAATTATAGTTTTATTTTCAAGTTCGCTTTTCAAATCTTGAATAAAGAGACGAAGTTTAAATAATATATCAACTTCACGAAAAAGAATAGCTCTATGTAGCATCTAAATAAATGATTATATGAAATTGATTTCAATAGAAAATGAATTATCTTACTTTCAATAGGAAACATTTTCGAGAAAACCAGGATATTGCTTGAGTATTTTTATAACTCTTTTCAAATTCTTCAATTTGTGCTAGTTCGTATTCATTTCCTTCGTATTCTTCACGAGCAAAATGAACTAATTCTTGAAATGCATTTTCAGTTTCATTACGATCAAGAAGAATATCACTGAGTAATTGAAAAAAAACAAATGTCGTATTAAGTGTAGTTCTATTCGCATAAACTGGTTGAAAAAGTAGTACATTAGATTTAATTGGATTAACATCATCAGATATCATTTCATAAATATCATCCATCGATTCATAAACACCGCGAATCTGAGTCGAAGAAAATGTTAAATTCTTATCTGGATTTGCCGATACAATATAAATTGATAAAATATTCAAAATATTTTCAACTCGTGGAAGGAGTGAATCACAAAAGTCATCAGAAAGTACCAAAACAATCCTCTGATTCGATAAACTATTTATATACGCAATACAATCATCGGTATCATTGAAAATCATGACGATATTTATTAAACGACGAATCTTTTGTACGATCAATGGATCAGGAGATGAAGTATGCAAGTATATTAGATTAACCCATTCAACATTGCCTTTCTCTCGATGGATTGTATTTGATGACGTTTCTGTATTTCCACTAGGCCGAACTAGAAGAAACAAAAACAAGTTCTCTAAATATTCTTAAAGGATCGAATGTTCCTTACACATAAGATTGTATAACTGATTCGCTAAAATTTCGAAAATATTGTTCGGTTGAGAAACATTCCCATTGGTAAGAGACTCATCATTTTCATTTTGAAATTGTTGTTGAATATTACCTAAAATTGAATCTTGATAGAAAATCATCGTCTAAATCATTTATTCTTTTCAAACTTTGTGTGTTTCTATTTTGATTAGTTAAGGCGAAGAAACTGGAACTAGTCATTTCTGATGACATTGGAGTTGATGGAACAGAATGTTCATTGATCGATATCATTGGTGATAACTGAGGAGGCTCTAGATAAAATAACTTAATTTTCCAAAAAGAATTTCAGTCAAATTTTTGCGTACCGTTAGTTTTTTTCGATGAAGAATTGAAGAGAATCTTTTCCTTTTCAGATGAGTTAGACGGAGAGAATTCTTGATTGAATTTTTCTAAAATAATTTTATTCTAACAAGATACTTAATTACAATTAATTCTTACTTTCTGATACTTCGCTCAATGATCGTATGATCGATGGTGGAAACTAAATGAATGAAAAATAAGATCGAAATAAAATTCAAAAGAATATTCATACTTCATCATTTTTTAATTGACATGTAGTAAGAAAAAGATTGAATATATCTTTCGTAAATAAATTCAATTAATTGTCTTACTTCTGACATGGTTTCGATTTAATAATTTGTTCAATTTGAAATGATTTGTGTTGATTATAATGCATCAAACCATATTCACAACAAGAGATCATCTCATTATCAAGTAAATCATTAAGATAAATATATAATTTGTATGTTGATTCGTTTGAATTTCGTCTTGATTTAAATATAAATGAATCTGAAATTATTGATAATTAATTTATCGAGAGAATAGATCTAATCTGAAACTCACCTCCATCTTGTAAGCAACCTTTATAGATTATTTCATTATGTTGTACTATTTTCAATTCATCAATATGTTTGGCTGAAATTGAATTTCGATAATTCATTCGAACAAAACAATATTCCTCATCCTAAATTTATAAAAATACATTTCATCATACAAAATCATTACAAACAAAAAGACAGACTTGATTTTCTTCAGTATCACTATCGCTATTTGATTCTGTTTCTGATACCTAGAAAAATACCGATGCAATAAGAATTAATTCAACAAAAAACTTGTACCTGAAATCCATTGATGAGATGATTTAATATTTCTGGAAGATTTTCATTGCCATTCCTATGTATATTATGAAATAATTAGAAGAAAATATTTCACTTCGATAAAACTTACAGTGCCTTGATTTGCTCGATTAATTCACGTTGTTGATGTCTTTGATCTGAATACATTTCTTTTTGATGAATATTCGATCAATAACGTCGTCCAATATTTGTCACAAGTGAAACTACCTACTTCCAATACTGTGGTCGTATTTATACGTAGTTTCACCTTTACATGACTCAGAGCCCATTAAGGGAAGAAACGTATGTAAAATGTATACGGCAGAATGAAAAAAAAAGATTTATCATGTTTTCGATTGGTTTTCTCCAGGCTGACTCATAAGTATTTTATTTGCAATAATTAATCACTACGAAATGACTAAGAGGAATGACGTCATCGACATTTAGGAAGTAGCGAAAAGCAAGATGAATATGAATTGCTTTCATGTAAGAAATTTCCATAATATTACTAATATGATCAAAATGTGGATAATGACTCAGGATGTGGTTGGGGATATGGCTTGGATGTAGTTAAAAAAAGCATGATATTCACACCAACACTCATATCCGCATTTCAGTTTGTTGTTGGAGATTTTTGATAAAGGTATTGCTGATGTCACATAGAATTGAAAGTAATTCTTTTCATTCAGAATTACTTTTTCTTCTAAGTATTTGTACTATATCGATTAAATATTACTCAAATTATTTTCCTTTTCTTATCAAATACAAGTCAAAATTATGTCTGAAACTATATTTAAATACAATAGTTCTTTTCAATCTTGAGAATAACTGTTACTGACGAATACTTCACTCTTTCAAAATATAATAATATCAATTGAAACTTGACTTTATCACATGACGATCTATGCATTTCTCAATTACATTTTTATTGCATTTTTCGCACAATATAATCAGAACGATTAGAAGAAATGAAATGGATATCAAATTTTCAATTATTGGTATGTGAATAGATGCATCTGTTATATTTCAATTCTATTGACTTAACATATTATCTATGTTTTAAAAATAAAAACACATATTTTTTTATCATATTCTCTTATTTTAAAACCAACTATGAATACAATCAAGATTCATTGCTATATTGTTTTTATTATTCTCAGGTAAAGAATTATTGATTTTTATCATTCATTTTGTTAACTTTGACTAATTTTATATTTTAGTATAACAGGTTTAATTTCTATTCTATTTTATATGTTTATATGTATTAGTTTATCACTTTCATAGTTCAAATCAAATCTCAAATATGCGAGAAAACACCTCAGTATGGTGAATGTTCTACAAATAGTGCATGTGGATGTTTTCATGTGGCAGGTGCTAATAATGGTACAGGTATTTGTGGTTTTCGCTGGCCAACATGTTCTCGTCTTGAACTGTGTAATTCGTCAGACAATTCATGTTCTCAACTTAATACGACCTGTGTTCAACATCCTTGATGTAATGATCATCCTGTTTGTTATCCAGTCACAATAACTGATCAAAGTATTTGTCCACCAATGAAAAGTGAATGAATCAGTGGATGATAGATGCAACGAATTGCTGGGAAAAGATCGAAAAAAAATATCGAAATGCTGAATGTCGAAAAACAAAAATTTCGAAAATTAAATGTCGAAAAAATAAAATTTCGAACGTGTGGACATGACTGTGTATATGAATAAAATAGATCATCCACGACCACACCCACATTCATACCCAGACTCACTCCCACACCCACACCCACACCCACACCCACACCCTCACCCACACCCTCACCCACATCCTCAAGATGCTACAATCGTATATGTGATTCTCATACTAATATTCTATACTTCGAATAATTCGAAATTTTATTTCTTGTGATAGAGGTTTTTCGAGATTTTGTTTTTCGGAATTGCGACTTTTTGGAATTTCATTTTTTCGAACTCCTTTCTTTCGAAATTTATTTTTTCGATCGTTTTTCATCATACCGATGCAACAATCTTACCGCACTCTCACGATATTTGAAACTATAAATTTGATCTATTTTAGATAAGATCAATCTTAAATAGAAACAAAATGCCATTACCGTGGCTGGTGGAAATGGACAAGGACAAGAATTAAATCAACTTAATGGCCCTCAAGGGATCTTTATTGATGAAAAGAAAAATATTTTCATTGCTGATACTTGGAAGCATCGTATAGTTGAATGAAAATATAATGCAAAAGAAGGACAAATCATTGCAGGTGGAAATGGGCAAGAAAGTCAAATGAATCAAAAGAGTTCTTCAATCGATGCGATTTTTGATCAACAAAATCATTCAATCATCATTGCTGATACAAGGAACAGATGAGTGATTCAATGGTTGACTCAAAATCAACAAAGTCCCATTGATAATATTGACTGTAATGCCTTAACAATGGATAAAAATGAATTTCTTTATGTTTCTGATACTGTGAAGAATGAAGTGAGACGATGGAAAATGGGTGAATACAATGAAGGAATTGTAGTGGCAGGCGAAAATGGATAAGGCAACCAACTCAATCAACTTAATTTTCCTACTTTTATTTTTGTTGATGAAGATCAATCTGTTTATATATCAGATTACGACAATAATCGTGTTATGAAATGGAGAAAAGATACAAAAGAAGGAACAATTGTGGCTGGAGGAAAAGGTCAAGGAGAAAATCTTAATCAATTGTATTATCCTCGAGGAGTCATTGTTGATGATCTGGATCAAATCTATGTGGCAGATTATTATAATCATCGAGTAATGCGTTGGTGTGAAGGAAAAGAAGAAGGTGAAATTGTTATTGGTGGAAATGGTCAAGGAAATCAACCAAATCAATTATATCATCCTTTTGTTTTATCCTTTGATGACGAAGGAAATCTTTATGTTGGTGATTATTCGAATGATCGAATTCAAAAGTTCGAAATCGAGAAATAAAAGAAAAAAATAAAGTTTTATTGTTGAAAATCAATGAAAAAAATCGAATAAATTTTTGATAAGAAATCAACGAAGAAAAATCTTTTTCGTTTTTTTATCAACCTAGAATTTAATTGGTAACTTCCATTAAAAAATTCGAATAAATAAATGTTAAATTCATCATCTTTTGCTGATATTTTTTTCAAATTTTACCACTACGCATGATCCAGCTGTGTTATACTTTTCTTTTACACATACTTGTGGAGTAGTTACAATAAGTTACTCGTTACGCATGAGAAGAGAAGAGAACAGAAGAGAAAATGAATATACACATGTAACGATCGAGACTATAACGCAAGAAAAAGAGAAAAATATTACCATAAAAACGGAGAGCGATATCCTTTCAGTGACAAGTGTTATATCGCACAAGGATGGTATGTTGTACAGACATTACACCTATCGGCACACGTGTATTATTAGTTTTTATTATCGTTGGATTACTTTTTGTACCTATATACAATAATTATTCAACAAATGTGAAGCTTATATTTAATAATATCAAAAAAGTAACAAACAAAATACAAAGATGTCAAGTAGCAGTAATATTAACAAGGGATACATCCGATTATTTGAAGATGGAATTTATAAAAAACCTTGTTTCTTCGCTTAAAAGATTGAAAGACTTCAATTCTTCATGCTATATACATACATTTACATTTCAAAAATATAATCAATCGTTTGGATTTAATCTTTCTGAACCATTTGTAAAGTATATTAATGAAAATCAGTTTACTTCTATTGTTATGGTTCAAGATTTTGAAGTTCCTTCAAATATGTGGCAGTTAGCTCATCTAGGATGTAAACTCTCTTTAAATATTAAAGTATATTACATCTTGCATTCCTCCTTAGCCAATCCAAGCTTAGAAGTGATAGGCCTTGTCAGATACATGTCAAATCATGGAGAATACTTAATTGTTCTTACTTGGTACGATTATCATAGTTTAATTCATACATGTGGAGTTGAAGAAAACAAAATTTTACATATTCCATATGGAATATCCATACCAAAGTCTTCGAATGATTCCAAATCAAATGAAATATTATCAAAATATAAAGATACAGATTTTGTATTGCTTTCAATTATTTCAAATCATCCAAATGAAAATTACAAACGATTAATTCTCAATCTGAAATCGATAATTTCAAAAATTCCTAATTTGTATCTATTAATTATTGTTCAAGAATCTCTTACAATAAATTCAAATCTTTCTCAAGCAGTGAAAAATGTTCAACTTGAAGATAAAGTGACGTGGACAAATAAATCTATGTCGATAAACGAATTAGATGCCCTGTACAAACGAGCAAACGCCTACATTTCACTTCTTGATAAAACTATATTGACTTTTATCACTTTGTTAAATGCCATGTCGTATAGTTTACCTATTATTTCAACACCGAATGTATTTTCTCATGAAATTTTAACCGATGATAAAGGTCTTATAGTTTCATTCGACGATGATAAAGTTATAACAGAATCAATTATCACATTTCTAACAAATCAAACACGAATGAAAATGTTTAGCAAGAATGGTTATGAATCGGTGAAAAATTGGACTTGGGACAATATCGCTAAACAATATACACTTCTTTTTAACAACTCTTTGAAACACAGATTAACCGATGATCCATACAAAACGGAAATGTACTGGAATAATACCGGTGCAATGATTTTCGATAGTCAAAATGTGTCCTTATCTCTAGCCAAAGATAAAGCCAACCCCGGTATTTATACAATATACTCAGATTCGTTTCTTCAATTGAATGGTAAACTTAACAATAAATATGAAATCGAATTTATAGGATTAAAAACACTGAATCAATATATAATCCTGCATAGAAGTCAGGGAATCGATGAATTTAATTTTAAGAAAGAAAATTTCACGTGTCTAATCCAGATTGATTATATAAAACAAAGAATCTTTTTTGCATCCAAAAATATCAATTTGGAAATTTTACGTTCGAACAATGAAATAAAAATATCTTTTTCAAAAATAAATAAATTTACAAATGCTTTTGGGCTGATTGGTTCAATTATTGGATTCCGCAAAGAAAATACTAGCACTTCAAAATGGTTTATTCCTGGACCTGATATTTTTTCACATTCTTGCGAAGGACAAAGGTTATCTACATCTGGAACTGAACATAATGTTTTTATTTTACCTGAAAATACTTTACAATGTTCAGAAGAAAAATCTCGAAAAATTCATTTAATAATGGAAGGTCGCTTTTTCGATATTACTGGATTTACTGCTGTTAATCGTAAAATGTTCTTATCATTGATCACATACAAAAACTTGCTTATCTCTATAAAACCGGTTGATGGACTGCTACAACAACATGAAACAGCTTTCGAACCTTTATTAGTCTATTCATTTTTCCTTCGTCAGGATGCTTATACAAAAAAATACCAAAAATCAATTTCTAAGGGCAAGACAATAATATTTCGACATGCTTGGCCGCCAAATTTAAGGGATGTATCGGAGGAAGAAATACTAGTGCATCAACAACCATGGGAATTTCATGCGCTTCCCATTGATTGGCTACGATATTTTCAAGATACACCTGATGAATTATGGGTACCAAGTGAATATGTGAAAAGTTCGTTTATAGCAAATGGTATAGATAAAAACAAAATTCATGTATTTCCTCATGGTGTATTCGCGGACAAGTTTAATTTGACATTATCACCATTTCCATTAAATACGAAGAAAACATTCAAATTTTTAAGTATTGGAGGAGTATTACCTCGAAAAGGATATGATATATTACTTCATGCATATAATGCTCGATTTTCAAGTAAAGATGATGTTACATTAATAATTCATTCACATTATGGACATTCTGTAGACACTGTACTGACGGAAATTAAAAAGAATCCATTAGCTCCAGAAGTAATTACTCTGCGTGGTGATATGACTGATATGGATATGATTCGATTATTCAAAAGTGCTGATGTTTATGTTGCTCCATATAGAAGTGAAGGTTTTGGACTATCAACACTTCAAGCTATGGCTGCAGGATTACCGCCTATTGTTACAAAATATGGTCCTTCATTAGACTTTTGTCCAAACGAATGTGCTTATTATATAGATGCAAAAGTCACTGAATGTTTTACATCTCCTTGCGGAAAAATGAAAGTAGCTGGAACAGACACTATAATACAAGCAATGTGGGCAGAACCGAACAATCAATCATTGTCACAAAATATGTATCGAGCATACACTGATCGAATAGAACTTAGAAACAAATCTCAGATATGCCGAAAACATGCACAATATTATACTTGGGATAAAATAGCCGACAAGATTGTTCAAAGACTATCTCAAATAGCTCATTAACATTTCCTTCATTCTCATATTTTTCTGTCTTTTTGTATTACCATTAATATTCTCTAGATATCTCCATATTGAGGATGTGGGTGTGGGAATATTGTTTTTATTATACCCACACTCTCAAACTCATATAGATATTTTGATGAATAGACTTAGAAGCAAGTTTAATAATTACATGGTAGCTTGCAATATTCATAAATAAGCAATAGAATAAAAGATAAAATATATCAAAGAAGTAAGCAAAATATTAAGAACATAAAAATAAAAGAATATAAGAGAACTCTACAAAGTATATGTCATCTTATCATGATGTGATTTCTATTTTAATATTTCGTCAAAAGAAAAATGAAGAGAAGTTTTAATCATAATGATTTGAGAGAAGATCAAACTATATGTGATACTTTTTTCTAGAAACAAACGTTTTTTGATTCATTTGTCCTATGTTAGAATTATTGAAGACTGGAGTTACTTTTCTTGAGAATTTCACGCGTGCAACATTCACATATGTTTAAAAGAATATCTATAGTATTGAAGCCAACATCTATAGCGATTATATCTTGATAAGTATCACCATTAAAATCATGAACAACGATCATAATGTCTGTTTCAAACACTTCAGTCGAAAATATTGTTTGTGTATCAAAATGACCATCTCCATACCCGAGTAGCACATCTATGCCATATGGACCAGTCGTTCCAATAGCGATGTCTAAATGTCCATCACAGTTAAAGTCACCAACAGCAACCGAAGGTGTTGTCGAAACAGATTTTATAAAAAACTTTTGTCTGACATCAAAAATCCCATTACTATATCCAGATAAAATACAAATAATGTTCTCATTATCATTGGAGGTAACAATATCTGGATGAGTGTCACTATCAAAATCACCGACTGCTAGATTAGTTGGATCAGAACCAATAAAAGTGAACGATTGTTTCTGTACTTCAAAAGTTCCGTTACCACATCCAATAAATACACCAACATTCACAGCATTTTCATTGGTTACAGCAATATCTAAGTGACCATCATTGTTAAAGTCACCGACATTTAATGATCGAGGCTGACTATTATGTCCAGTAGGGAATATCAATGGCGATGAAAAAGTGCCGTTACCCGTTCCAAGAAATACACACATACTATTATTTTTCATACTAACGACAGCGATATCTGAGTACTTGTCATGATTGAAGTCAGCTACAGTGATCTCATTTGGTGTGCATTTCGCTCCCAGTGATTGTATATTCAGTGCTCCAAAATTTCCATTGCCATTTCCTAAGAGAATACCAAGATGGGTACTATTGGCTAAAACGAGGTCAGACCGATTGTCGTTATTGAAGTCACGAGCATTAATATGAGACAACATTTTAAAACCTTCCCTTGGAATAATATTTACTGCTCCAAAATTTCCATCCCCATTTCCAAACAGCAGATTCACAGTCCTGTGCAATCCAGAATAAATCACAAGATCAAGTCGATTATCATTGTTAAAATCAGCAGAAACAAATCCGTTTCGTATAAGATCAAAATAAGATGTGTTCATTGATATCGATCGAAATTCTGATTTGCAAATTGGTGCTAATAAAAAGAAAATAAAGAATTATTCTTCCGTATTCTCGAACTAAAAGTGTATGAGAAGAAATTTATGCAAGCTAAAACTACATCAGATCTTATATACTCATGAAGGAATATATTCAAGCATCATCATCCCTTGAGATAGAGCTTTAAAACATTGAATTATTTAGTGATATGTATAGTATCTCAGATATTAACGTTTTAGTTGCTTTTGTTAAGGTCTAAAACATGGCACTATTGAACATCTTTGCTATACATCGTATCTTGGCCAATGGAGTCTCACTTCATCAGGTCATTTTTGTAAAATTCGCAGAAAATGAATCAAATTTATATAGTATGTTTGCTGAAGAAATGAGTCGCCATATAATGATCAAGATGCGAACGCATAGCGAAAATGTTACATAGTACTATTTTTTTGATCTTAACGAAATCAGCTAAAATGTTGATATTCGAGATACTCTATCTCTATAGGTGATTCTATGATTCTGCAGTGTTTTAAAATAACTCTAATCACTGAAATAAGTACGAGACGGTATTGTTACATTACTAAGCAACGAATAAATCTAACTATAAGAATTTATCTTAAAAGTGAATATTAATTTTTTGGTTGAAGTTACTGACTTGCTGTACTTGAAAATGTTGACATTGTTGTGTTTGTTGTTGGGTTCACATTAGTATCATTTGTCATGTTGATCGAGGAAGCTAGTAAAAACATATTTAATAAATATTCTGTTAAACACTTGATTCCACTTAAATATCAAGATTATTTAAAAGAATCCTTTATATTCATTTGACAGAACTAGAATAGCTTATTGTAGAAAATCAATATAAAGACACTATATCTTAAGTAAGACGATCAAAATTAGAAACTTTTCGAAACATACATCGATAAATATATTGTATTAAAATAATATTGAAAGATACTTGGTTACTATAGATATTAGCTATTTTTCTCTGATTTAGTAAAAGCCGCCTAGTTTGTATTATTAAATCGATTCATTTTTTTCAAAGTTGGCTAGCACAATCATTTTTAGATACACTCCATACCTTATATTAAACTACCATGCAGTGCATTGAAAATGAACTTCTAATAGAATTCAATCCCTAGAACTCATTTTTGTTATCTCTTACAAACCTGTCAATGCAAAGTAGACTAGCTGTTTTTCCTAAGTCTTAGCGTGTTTGAGAAAATTATTCAAGCGAAGATATTGCTGCTCGACAATAAAATTGAAAAATATTCTACATTCTCTTTCCTTGCATCAGAAAACTATCTAGATCAACTTTGTCTCTCTGAATTCAATTCATTTGAAGTTTTGGAATGGATATGTTGTGATCTGTTGTCAAAATATTTGTACTTGCTTTGACAATTATATTCTTACCTTGTCGCACGATATAAAATGAAAAAATAATCAAAGCTGCTATTACACTAGTCAATAGTATACATCCAAAGAAGACCTTGGAAGTACGTCGACCTGATCTACCAGTAATTGTCCTAATAAAAAGATATTCTGAATTACAAGTCAAAAACAAATTAAAAAAAAAGACATACGGAGACGTTTCAGGCATTGAACTTATCTCTAAATTAGTAGTAACATTATCAGCGGGTGTGTTAGAAATATCATCAGATGTTTCTTCAAGAGCACAGCCAGGGTGAATAGTATTCATTCGCTTTTTCCGATAATCATATATTTTAGATACAATTCGAATTATTTTAGGACAAGTCCATTTAAGAATGATTGTGAGACCACCTTGAAGACTAAGTAAAAGAGTAATTATAGAAATTAAGTTTAATTTTTGAACACTAGTATAGGAACAATATGATGGTAAGCATTGCTGAAAATAAGATGTATAATTCGGCTTTATTGACCATCGTTCAATGAATAGTCTACCAATAAGTTCAGCCATTGTAGTGTTAATCAAAAAACTACTATTCATTATAGAGAGAGGCTCATGAGAATAGCTGTAATTAGTATACTCATGAATGAGATTAATACATGATTGATTATAAAAACATTCAAGAGTCGAAGGACGAAATGATTCACTTGGTGTACATCCTATTTTTAAACCTTTAATTGGAATTGGAATTATTTCAGAAGAATTAGATGTGATAAAATTTGCTTGAGTTGTACAGTTTGAACATAATCCACAGGAGCATTTATCATCATAGATTAGAGCTCGAGTCGGTAAATAAGATCCCATAGATGCATCTTCGGGCACAATATATTCGAAATTTGTTCCATATGTTGATATGAAAGCATTTCCATGATTGATAGTTCTAATTAAGAAGAGAAGATGACGGAATGTTGTAGGAGCATTTGATTTACTCTGTTCCATCAACGATTCAAGTTTTTGATGAAAATTTGTTTCTGAAAGAAGTTCAGAAGTGACAAGTAATGAGGTGCGAAATTGATTGATCGAATTGTATACTGAATTCATAGAAAGTTTGCATAGTCCTTGAAGAAATTGTAAATGAGCAGAAAGAAAACGACGATAGTCTCTTCGTTCATAAATAGACAAATTAGCAGCAAGACCAGCTGTAATATTAATTCGCCATTGTTCCGATGCGAATGGACTCGAGCAGATCTTAAAATAATAAGAACAAGAAAAAGGAATAGATGCTATTCTAAAATAACATTCGATGTTTTTACAACAATACTATGATAAAATAGACAGCCTTTTATTTTCAATAGATATTATGCATTTTTGTTAATGAATGATAAAGTCTTTTCGTCATTCTAACCATTTTGTTAGTGATAAATGTACAATATAATCTCAAAATCTTTTCGTTTGTGTTTTGTGTATTGAAAAAAGCTTTTAGATTTAGATTTTAGTTTGACTAATTGTCTAAGTTGAGTCATTTTTTACTCTTCAGATGGTTCGATTATGGATATCGACTTAGCATTCGTGTTAGGGAAAGAATGGTCGGGGAAAGACACTTGGAAAACATAGAATGACGATTGTGATATAATGGTTAAATAAGGATGCAAGTGAATGGGTAAGAACTTACTTTTACTCATCCTTATAGAATAGTATAGCCTTTGTTATTAATATCATTCGACAGCATTGCTTTTGCTAGAGAATTCTGGAAAAGCGGTCTAGTACGTGTTGTTCTTAGTAGTTACGCCGAAATAGTATTATCGAATTAAAGCTTATACTAACTATATTTTTCGGACGGTATGTGATGATCTTAGAAAATAATTAATGAAAGTATGGTAGAGAAAAATATGAATATTATTTTGTACTCATCTTTCGTTTTAAGCAGATCATTATTATGTTATCATACCTTATGAAATGTTGGCTCAATTTCTATAAATTGGCTATATACCGTTGCAATTACTGAACATGGACATTTTAATTCGTCGCCATAAAGCTTTTTCAGATTCTTGTAAACATTGAAAGGCGGTTTATTAAACGTTTTCGTCATCATTTGTGGTTGAATTAGGTTATATACAGTGAGAATACTAAGACCACCGATGAATAAAGCAATGTACAAACGAGTTGCCCATTGACCAAGACGTTTAGCTTTTATCGGATCAAGAGTACTACCAATATCACTCAACGAAAATATGTTTAGATTGATGACAGTGCTATGCAAAAGTTTGATCACATTTCTCATAGTCATTTTGAATCGATCGCACCAGTTTCCATGAACTATACACAAAAAAAGTTATACATTTTTTATGGTGGTTGGGGGTCGATGAGAAACAGAGTATGCAAGTGTGGGCGAAGATGACCTGTCTCTCTGGAAGATAAGTGTCACTTTTAGAGATGAGCATATAAATTGAGTCCTTCTTCAACTTTTTACCAAAACTAATACTTACGCCTACTATGTTTGCCTTTAGGGGTAGGACAGTTCATAGTTCCAAGTTCGGATGAACTGGTCAAAAGAACTACCAGTTCAGTTCTTCTGATAGGAACTGAACTGAACCAACAGTTCTTTGAATAGAACTGAACTGAACTAACAGTTCTTTGAATAGAACTAAACTTTACAAAATAGTTCATTGAAAGGAACTGAACTGTATCAACAGTTCTTTCAGAGGAACTGGTCGGTTTCAACAGTTCTTTTAAAAGAACTGTTTTGTTTCAAATTTGTTTTTATTTCCAAAAAAATAGTTTTCACAACAGTTCTCTGAAAAGAACTGAACTGAAATATCAGTTCTTTGAAAGGAACTGAACTTGTCGGTACAGTTCAGTTCTATTCAAAGAACTGTTGATTCAGTTCAGTTCTATTCAAAAGAACTGTTAATACAGTTCCTAAGAACGGAACTAATATGGAACTGTCCTACCCCTATTTGCCTTTGATTTAATCAAATTTTATATATGTTTGATTTGAATGAATTTCATACTCCTCTATATGGACGCTTGTTTAAATAGTATAAGTTATAAAACCTCTGAATTTCCAGGAATTACTATATTTCTTCTCGTGGCATGACTCTTGAACTTTTTGAATTGTTAATTCTTAGATCATGGATACAGCTGAAGATTAAGGAATAGATGTGACATATATTTAAATATCATTGGAATTTATCAAGCTATCTTTAAAAAAGATTGTAGTTGCTGATTTTGATTATCATTTACGAAGTATTATCTAAGATCACATGAATGTTTCTTATCATTCTTCTCGTCTTATATAAACTACATTTGATGAAAATCGTTATTGTATGAATACATTCGGTCTGTAATATTTTTTATGAACATCCGATTAATATTTACTTTGTTCGTCTTGTTGCTGGCTCTGTTGTCTTTTGCTGATCTTTGCCCATAAGTAAAAGAAAAACTGGACAAGATACGGTGTGATAAGACGTAATGAAACAACAAGTCCACTAATCACGGACATCAATGTTATTATTATTTCCGCAATAGTTTTTGTACGAATTTTTTCAGAATAAGTACAATAAATCGGTGCACATGATTTGTAAAAGTTCTTGTATGGCCACGATGCATTCCATTGTTCCACCATCATCTCTTTAAATATAGTTGAAATTAAAGTATTTGGAGGAAAACGACTCCGCGTTGGATCATTGATTAAAGGACTAATATGATGTAACGATATTCTTAACTGATTGCCATACTGGGTCTTTTTTAAGTAACTCAGTAGAATTGGGAAACAGTCTGAATCTGCATAAAAACATTGTAAGGTCGAGAGCAACAGAGAATCACTATTCAGACAACCTCTAACCAAAGATGGTATTATATAAGAGACATGGATACCACGAATATAATCAGTACCATAAATGGCGCTTAAACCTTGGCAACGAGGATCAGTTGCACAAATACAAGTGAATACTGTTGAATTAATTTCTGAAATCTTAAGTAAAACAAATGATACCTAGAAACAAAAAGAAAGATTTATGTTATACTATCAATTGGTTTTGAAAAAATATATAAGAAAGAAATGGTTTCTGATACCTTCCGTATGAGACAGCTTCTGGAAAGTGCAATAAAGATTGTATAAAATCTATCATCTATTGATATTCTAATATCATATTATTCTAATATTTTAGGTATGAATTAAATATACTCTCGAAAAGTAGCTTGAAAGGAGTTGTGCTCACTCTAGCATTTGTTCCAGATACGCTACTATGAACTAGGTCGAATCGACCCATCGTTCAATAATTCATAGACAGACTTTTATTAGCATGACTTAGTCTACTCATAGTTTTGTTATCGTCACTTATTAAAATCTACGTTCATGCTCAAAACATCATTCAATATCGTTTCTACAGTTATGCTGATTTTATTGAAGTATAATTGTGGATAGCATTTACCTAACTCCATCTCTTATCTGGAGGTTTTATGTTTAAAAAACAATTAGCATATAACGAGAAAAAGTATGACGACATGTTTTTTCGAATATCTGTATCGAAAAAATATCAAATAAATCCTATCTCATTTTTTTCTCAGTTTTAATGATTATTTTATAAATATATCATGTAGGATTATCAAACAGTTTTTTCTTGTGACACTAGTACTTTTTAATTATACGAAGTACTAATTGTTTTTGTTAGTAGCAACAAAGAAAGCTGGCTTTTATAACTGTATTTGTTTAGCTTCTTTGTGGAAGCAATAGAAGTTTGCTAACATACTACTATTTTTAAGGAGGAAGACAATATTTTATTATAATAAACATTAACATACCTGTGATAAGGATTGATTATCCCTTTCATTTTCTATGTCGGCTATGATTAGGTTGCTATGCAAATAATTATTTTCATCGTTGAATGGTCCCATATAAGGCTGATCGACTTGCAAAAAAAGACGTACAACATTGTTCTGAAGACTGAAGTCGAAAATCGTCGAATTATAAAACTGTCTGATAGTTACATTTAATTGTGTATCGAAATCGATTTCATTGAATACAGTTGAAGCGATAAAGAACTTCTTTAGAAAGCGATCAACACTATCATCAATCGTTTTATTAGCCACTCGACAAAAGTCAGACAGCAATTGGAATTGTGATCCAGCTCGATTACGCCAATCATTAGGAACATATCCAAAGGTGCTTCTTTTTAATAATGTAACCCATTCATCAGTAGCAAAACCACTTGAACACACCTGATGCAATGTTGGAGATAATGAAACAAATGAACCATAAGACATAGCCTTGGTTGAACAAGGACAATTGAGTGTAGTCGAGTGTAACATCTGTAAACTTTTATACGTAATCAATGACGGCTTTGAAATTGTTACTGTATCTATTTGAGTACTCAATGAAGTGAAGAGAAGCAGAACAATAATTGAACCTAATGAGAAAAACAAAAAAAGTCAGTATGTTATTATCCACATATCATCTATACTGTACCTGTTAGCAAAATCAAATAAACACGTGTGATAATCTTTTGTTGTCTGATATAGTTTTCTGTTCGCTGATTGACGTTCTTAAACAAGTTTAATCGTTTCATCAATCGAAAAAATTTACGTAGACATATTTTGTGACACCCTAAAAATTGAATATTAATTATATTTATGTTGAAACTTTTGTTTAGTTTATTTGAAAAAACTATCGAAATGCATACTTGTGTTTCTTGAACGATGTTTGAATTTCAATGAGGCATTTACCAAAAATGATGCACTCAAACGAAGTATTATCACGAGACCACCATAGAGACTAATGAAAAGAGTAATTGCATAAAAGATGCCAGCTCGACCTGTTGCCGTGTATGTACACACTGAAGGATGACATTCATTAAAATATTTTGAATAATTTATTTTTGGCGACCACTCTTCAACAAAAAGGTTGTTGAAATATTCGCTCACAGAAAGATTTTGTTGTTTCGAAGTCAGAACAGAGTCGGTCCAATTAACGTCCATCTAGACAATATGAATATGTATGAAAGTTAAAAAAGTGTTATACATACATGATTGAGAAATGGAAAATAATCGGATAATAATTGCAGACACTCAATTTCATATAAACAATCAAGTGTGCTTTGAAGAAGCGCTTCGAGAGGAGTACATCCTGCAAAGAATCCACTGACAATTGTAGAATTTGGCATAGACTGAAAGAACTCTATGCTGAAGGCTGACATTGCATCATTTAACAGTAGATTGAGAGTAGCTGCACTAGTTGGATTATCCTGATTACAGGACATAATTACTCCACTAGTTAAATAATACTTTACAGAGAATACAACTGCACGAACTATATTATTAGCACGGTCGGATGTTCCAATTATTAGATTTGTATTAAGAGCTGATACTAAAACGTTTCCTCGTACAGTTGTTCTTAAATAGTTCAAGAACATAATTATTCGAGCAGATGCACTGTTTTTTGAAGATTCCATCGTACTATTCACTTCGAGTTCAACTTGTGTGTCAGTAAGAAGATAAGTGGTAATAAAATCATTGTTTCCAACATCATTTTCAATATGAAAAACTGTATCTTCAGCGATTGAACAAAAATTAGATAAAAGTGCAAACTAAATAGAAACAAAATCAATCAGTTAATATCTAAAAGATTATAAGGTGTAGCAAATGCAAAAATCAACTAAAATGTTTTTTCCGCGCTTTATATATGGTTTGATAGAGCCTGTCGAGCTCTGCGAAACTATATTTTAAAATATTTTTTGAGAGCATGGGTAGGTGGTGGGTGTGGTCTAGACGTATTATAATAATCGTACACTCACATTCACACCCATCTTCAGATTGAATACATGTCAATCATTAAAAATTGATTTTAAATCTTCTTCAGACAAATTTTTTTACTATTCACCATTATTGCTTCTCATAGAATATAAATCAATCTCAAAACAAGAATAACAAAATCTCTATGAAGAGTTGTTCTCGAATTCATCGAAAAATAACACTCTAATTAAATGTGGATTTGATCTAAAACAATGTTCTTTTTAGAAAAGTAATATTCACTCGCCTGAGAACTAGCTGTTGTTCGAAAATCCCAAACTCCATATTGACTTGCATTTAATAAATATAATGCTTCAATCCATGATTGATTAACAAAAATACTCTTACAAACAGGATGAAGTTTGATTGTATTGGAAACAAAAATTTTGTGAGGCATGCTTATTGTTGAACATGGACATGAAAGAGTTTTATTATATTTCGAATAAAGTTCATCGAATTTGACAGGTGTAATATCAGAGACAGCAACTGTTGAAGGTTCTGTCTTCATCAAAGTAGCATAGAAAAGAATATAGAAAGACACTAAAATAAATAAGGAAGAGATAAAGATAAAAATCGTTCAAATTTTCATAGTTGAATATTGCCTACGATTGACTAGTAATGTCTTATATCGATGAAATTCTTCACTGACTTAATGTAATTGTATGTGTATGCTGAACGAGATACTTTAAAGAAAAATCAAGAGTCATCGAGCTTAGAAATCAACTGTCAAGCAAAAAAAGATTTTGTTTTATAGAGAATTTTTGTAAGTTCATCTGTATAATGAAAAAAAAAGGCTCGGCCGGACCATTCGAATCAATCAAAAGTCGACAATGAATTATCATCCAATACATCCTGTTCGATGGTAATACGCATTTGAAAAACGAAAACGTGTTTGCTACGTACCCATGAGAAGGAGGATGTATAATCGAGTTTTATATTTTTGATTTTTAAGTACAATTGCTGGATCTTTTGGTTCATCATCATCGTCATAGTCGTTTTCTTTGAGTAGAAAGAGATTACAATTGGATGCTTTCTGAAGAAACCATTTAAACAAAGCTTTGGGATTCATTATTCAAAGAATAGATGAAGTTGAGCAATTAATATTTTGATAAGTGTAGTGTTTGTTTTTTGTACTTTCAAAAGTAATAAGAATAGTTTACTCTAAAAATTTAATGAACGATTGAGTAACAAAATAGTCGAATAATTATAAAAATTTGTGAAGCTAACTACGTAAAAGTATCATGCAATACTGAAAGTTGCATAACAGAAAAACTTCTTTCGAAATCAATTACATAGGATTGCCAGTCAAAGGAAAACATTTCTCGTTATTACATAAGAGTTCTGTTAACTCTGAGATTAATGGATTGTAAAATTCGAATTTTTTTATATATGTCTGCCTATAACAATCATTTCTTTTGTTCAACAGCAAGAGAAACTCTATGGGGATTCGAAATTTGAGTATTTCGATGTAGCATTTCAGATCATTAAATACCATGAATTACGGATATATATATATATGTATAAACAACCTATGAGGATATTCATTTTCATGTATTATAACACGCTGACTGATTAAGTAATTGTGCGCGTGAATCGATGATAAAATGGGTCTGCTAACCATAATAAAATCCACATGTATTCTGGCAAGCTTGTGCCAAAGAATTTTGGAGCAAAAAGGCAACGAGGATTTGGGTGTGGCTGTAGCTGTGAGTCGGAGAATGATGAACAGATTTGTCTCTCATCCACAACTGCTTTCTCAATTCGTCAGGAGCTTTTTATCACAGCAAATCATATCTTAGCAATGATTCTCTCTACTATCATGAGTATATGATCCCTTATATTTTAAATTGAATTTTGGACAAAAATTGACCTTCGTAATATATTTAGAGCAGGTATTAGGGGAACTACAAAAATCAACATTCTTCATAATGAATAGACAAAGAAACATTACGTTTCCCACGAATTGAATACTTGATTTGCATCAAATGAAAACACTCTCAGTCAGCTATTGCCCTCAACACCATTCCAGTCCTACGGGTGGACTAAGAAGATTAGGAGGGCTTAGGGCACTGGGAGGACTTAGAACACTAAGAAGCTTTTAAGATTATTTCGTTGCTATTTTATGATAATGAATAGTGTATATAAAGTCTACTCTTCATAATTAGGGTCAAAACTAGGGTGGGAGAGGGTTTGGGTGGGTGTGGGTGTGGGTGTGGGTGAGGGTTTGGGTG